AATCTAACAATGCATCAAAAGGATAATTTACCATGACCAAGCAGAATTTATTCCAGGGGGACAAGGATAGTTCAACACCGAAAATCAAATTAATGTAATCCAACACATCAACTAAAAGAAAAAAAAAAACCTATATGATCTTATCAATAGATGCTGAGAAAGCATTTCACAAAGTTCACCATCTGTTTATGATGAAGGCCCTCAAAATTCTTGGGATAGATGGAACATAATAAAAGCCCACAGCCAATATTATTCTCAATGGTGGAAAGCTGAAAGCCTGTTCTTTAAGATCAGGAACAAGAGGGCCATCTCTGGTGCAGGAGGTTAACACACAGCATTATGAAGCTATCTACAGCCACTGCAGCACAAGTTCAATCTTTGGCTAGGGAGGTGACCCACATGATGCAGCAAACCTCTCCTGCCTCACCCACTGCTCCCACTCACCAGTGTATTTCATTCAATCTGCATGTTCTGTTCCCCACTTGGTTTCTGGTGAATACTCTCACCCCCACCCTCGCACCTCTGATCAGTTCTTGTTTGCATAAATAAATAAATAAATAAATCTTAAACAAAAAATAAGACCAGGAAGAAGAAAAATGTCCCCTCTTGCTGCTGCTTTTCATATAATACAGGAAGTCCTAGTCAGAGCAAACAAACAAGAGAAAGATTTATAAGGAATCCAAACAAGGAAAGATAAACTAAAACTATCACTCTTTGCATGATCATATACATAAAGAATCCTAAAAACTATACAGAAAAACTAGCTGAACAATCAACCAGTTCAGTAAAGTAGTGAAATACAAAACCAACACACAAAAATCAGTAGCCTTCCTACAACCAATCAACCGGAAGAAGAAAGTAAAAAAAAAAATTCCATTTACAAATGAAACAAACAAAACTATTCAAATACCTGGAATAAACTTAAATGAGGAGGTGAGGGATCTAAACAAAGAAAATTATAAAATATTGTTAAAAGAAATGGAAAGACATCCCCTGCTCATGGATTAGAAGAATTAGCATTATTAAAATGGCCATCCTGGGGGGGTGGGGAGGGAAGTGCATGGGATTATGGTGATGGCACACGGGTGACTTGATGATGGGAAACCCGTGGGGATTACAATTGAGATGGAAAAAAAAATGTACAAAATGATGTAAAAATAAACTGTTATAAAAAAAAAATAGCCATCCTACCAAAAGTAATTCATAGATTCAACCAACAAAAATCTCAATGACATTCTTTGAAGAAATAGAACAAATATTGATAAAATTCATATGGAGCCACAAGAAACCTTGAATAGCCAAAGCTCTCCTGACTAAAAAGGGGAATGGAGGTATCACACTTTCAGACTTGAAACTATACTACAAAGCTGTAATAATAAAAAGTACATCATAATGAAACAAAAACAGACAGACAGATCAATGGAACTGAATAGAAAACCCAGAAATAAAGCCCCACATATATGAACAACCAATCTTTGACAAAAGAGCAAAATATGGAACAAGAATGGTTTGTTTAATAAATGGTACTGGGAAAATTGGACCACTACATGCAAAAGAATGAAATTAGACTACTACCTCATACCGTGCATAAAAATCAACTCAAGGACTCACCCTGGTGGTGCAATGAGTTAAAGCACCACATTCTGAAGCTCTCTGAAGCCACTGCAGCATGAGTTCGATCCCCAGCCAGGGAGCTGACCCACATGGTGTTAAAGACCTCTCCTGACTGGCCCAGTGCTCCCCTCAGCAATGTATTTCAGTACATCTGCCTGTTCTTCTCTCCACTGAGTCTCTGGTGAGTTCTCTCACCCACCATACCTCTGGCCTATACCCCAGTTCTGTATCACAAATAAATAATTCTTTCCAAAAAATCAATTCAAAATGGATAAAAGAACTGCATGTAAGATCTGTAACCATAAACTATATAGAAGAAAATATACATGATATAGATCTCAGTAACCTCTTTAAAGACTCATCCCCTAAAGCAAAGAAACTAAAGTAAAAGATAAAGTGCTGGGATTATACACAACTACAAAGCTTTTCTACTGTTAAAGAGACATTAGCCAAAACAAAAAGACACCCTAAAGATAGGGAGAAAATTTTTGCACTCCATACAACTGATAAGGGACTGATCACAAATATCTACCAAGAACTCACAGAAGTCAACAAAAAGAAAGGAATCAAACCAATAAGAAAATGGACAGAAAATATAAAAAGACACTTCTCCAAAAAGGAAATGCTAGCAGTCAACAGGTTTATGAAAAAATGTTCAATATTAATTATAATCAGGGAAATGCAAATCAAAACAACAATGAGATACCATCTCACACCAGTGAGAATGGCACGTATTAAAAAACTACCAACAATAAATGCTGGCAAAGATGTACAGAAAAAGGAACCCTCCTACACTGCTAGTGGGAATGCAAACTTGTCCATCCACTATGGAAATTTCTGTGGAGTTTCCTCAAACTACTATAAATGGATCTATCATATGACCCATCAATTCCACTACTAGAAATCTAAACAGAGAACACAAAAACTTTAATTCAGAATGATATGTGTACCCCTATGTTTATTGCAGCACTATTTAATAGGTAAAATATGGAAACAATCCAAAGTCCCAAAAATAGATGACTGGCTTAAGAAGATATGGAATATATTCACAATGGAAACTACACAGCAACATGCCTGGAACTAGTAGGGATTATACTCAGTGAAATAAGTCAAAAGAAAAAAGAAAAATATCAGATGGTTTCACTTATAGGAGGACCAACTAAGGATCAGGGAAAGAAATAAAACAATAAATAAATTTTAAAAATTAATAGGCAATTGTAAATCAGAGACATTTTGCAAGGGAGGGGCAGGGAAAGAGATAAGAAGGGAAGGCAAGAGGAAAGGGAATATGGTGATGGTGCATGGGTCAACTGGTAGTGGGAATTCCATGGGAACTATACTTTAAGAGGAGAAAGCAAACTTTGTACAAAAATGAGTAGTGATACAAAATATAAATAAATAAATAATGCAAAAATTAAGCCAAATAAACAAACAAAAACACTGAACATGGATCTGCCACTCAACCCAGTAATTCTCCTAGGTATCTTTCCAAAAATTCAAAAACAGTAATTTGAATAGAATCTTTGCGCTCTCATATTTATTGTGGCTCTATTTATAATAGCTAAACTATAGAAACAATCTAAGTGACCTAAAAGAGATGAATGGACCAAGAAACGTGTGTGTGTGTGTGTGTACGTAAACACACACACACACACACACAATGGTAATCATACTACTCGGTAATCAAAAAGATAATGCCATTTGTGGCAACAGGGGTAGACCTTAAAAGGATAATGCTAAGTAAAATAAGTCAGAAGGAAAAAGATGAAAGAAAGATTGTAAAGTAACTTATTTGTTAAGTAAAGACAAGCTTAAAAACTAAGCATTGATATCTGAATACCAAACCAAAGCACCATGGTGGAGCAAATGGATGAGCAGGACATAACAAAAAGAGAATGAAGCACAATGGTGTATGGTGGTGGAATATGGGTAAGTTAATGCTGGGTGCATTATGGTGGTATTACCTCATGGGGGTGCCTCAATATTAAGTCAATTAAATATTAATTTTTTAAAGTTGTCCATTAACTGGACATATATTATAACAAGCTTATAAAATAAACATTGTAACTACAAATATCACTTATAGAAAATTTATTTCAAAAATATACATTGTTTTGGGAAAATGTACAATGATTTTAGCTGCTATATATTAATGTAATGGGTCTTTCATTTTATTCTGATTCATATATCAAAATTAGAAAAATGTTTTTAAAAAAAATCTTAAAGTAGGGGTCCTCCCTGGTGGCACAGTGGGTTAAAACACAGCACTGAGAAGCTAAAGCCACCTCAGCATGAGTTTGATCCCCACCTGCGCCGGAGGTGATTCACATGGCATGGCAGACACCTCCTGACCCGCCTACTGCTCCCCTCAGCAGTGTACTTCCTCACTCTGCCTGTTCTGTTCCCCACTCTGTCTCTGGTGAATTCTCTCACCCTCCGAACCTCTGGTCTGTACCCCAGTTCTGTATGCATAAATAAATCTTTAAAAAGAAAAATCTTAATGCAGACATGGTATGAAGTAGTGGGTATTTAATGTTCCATTTAATAAAGTTAATAAAGACATCATTTCTGTAATAAAAAGAGACTCGTTGCTTTTAAATAAATAAATAAAACAAAAATATTAAGTTGAACAAACACAATTCTAAATCATACTTCAATTATAGGAAGACTGAAAATGGTGAAATGAATTAAAAACTAAGCAAAAGAGAATGCTTTATTCATTAAATGTTTCTAACTTAATTCCAGTATATTACTTTAAATAAATTCACCTTAAAATTTTTCAAGAGAGGCCCTCCCTGGTGGCGCAGCAGGTTAAAGCACTGCACTAAGAAGCTTAAGCCACTTCCGCATGAGTTCGATTCCCGCCTTCCCCGGAGGTCACCACATGGCGTGGCAGACCTCTCCTGACCCGCCCACTGCTCCCCTCAGCAGTGTACTTCGTCGATCTGCCTGTTCTGCTCCCCACTCTGTCTCTGGTGAATCCTCTCACCCTTCACATCTCTGGCCTGTACCCCAGTTCTGAATAAATAAATAAATCTTAAAAAAAATTTTTTTTCAAGAGAAAAAAACTTTAGTGATCATTAAAGAAATATATGAATACTGAAAAATTCTCTCTACAGAATTTTACTTATCTTTAGCACTTCTTCTAGTTCTAGCATTCCTGGGTTACATGTAAATATCCTCTCCTGACAGGTAAAATCTGCCTCCCAATCTATCAAAAGTTTCTACAAGTAGACCTTTATGTATGCTACACATCAAGTGAAGCTCCAGCAATGTTTCTCAGAAACTGACTAAATTAGTTCCCAAAGGGAACTCGAGAGTTTTTCTATAGACTCCCTGAGTCTTGGTATTTATAGTTCACCTGCCCTTTTAAGAATGGTTTTCACCTGTCAAAAGTCCTACTCCGGAGTTCTCGAATGAATGTAGGGCTCCCGGTCTTCACTGGCTTCCCCTTGTGTGTTTCATGCCCTTTTGATGACACACGGCGTTTTTTCACTAAAACAGAAAAAGACATGAGACGGTAAGTCAGACTGGCCATAGCTGTTGTTTCAAAATCAAAGGGTTCAGCAGATCCTGCTTCTGTTATAACCTAACAACTGCTTGGAGTGCGTGAAACTAATGAGATTCTCATATATTCAAAAAAGTCCCTAATGAGGGCAGATGCTGCTTCTGGGGAATTCCTAGGAATGGAGGGAAGTGAAGGTGTGTACTTCTGCCCTCTCACTGTGGTGCAGCTGCTGGGTTTCAGGCCTGCATAAGTTCCTGTTATCTCCTAAGAGACACAAATCTGAAGCACTCAGGCAAAGGCAATTTTCCCTCCAAGCTTCCTTGCTTTCTCTCCTATGGACCACCTTCTCTTGAAAACCCAAAGATCTACTTACTAATAGAGGGCCCATGTAAGACCTCACAGTTGGGGCAATGGTAGAGGTCGATGTCAGCAGCCTTCTCCTCTTCAACACCAACACAACTAGAAAAGAGAAAAACAGCCAATGTTTATGGAAATTTCATTTTTCATGAAGTATAGAACTAAGTTTTCCAGTACACATGGCTATTTATATTTAAGTTAATTAAACATTCAAATGCAGTTCCTCCACAAAACAAATTACATTTCAAGCACTCAGTAGACACATGTGCCTAGATGTTACCTTATTTGGGCAGATAATCAAATATTTTTGTCAATGCAAAAATTTTCTATTGGACCACATTGGTCTAAAACAATTATGACAGAGCTTAAAAAATACACACAGCAAAGTTTCATTTAGACTCAGAATGGATCACAATGATAAAATAGATCTTTCCGACTACCCTTCCCCCTCACAAGGAGAACTAAGAACTATTCATAGACAAGACATCACAAAATATGTAGATGGAAGAGAGGCTGAAGAGCTCCCTGTACTAGAGACCATTGAAAGAGCAAGAAAAACAATTCGCTTACTGACTGTATTACTCCTACCTCAGGATGGGTGCAATACTACATGAAGGGCTCCCTCTGAGCCCACAGTTCCTCCAGTGATTATATAGTGCAAGGCAAACATCCAACTCCACCAGTATTGTGGGTTGCTTCTTGTGAGCTTCAAATCCAGTCTCACCCCATAGCAATTATAAGGAAATCTGCAGTGATTAATCATTGAGATTCTAATTGTCACTGGAAGGGGGGTGGACTTATAGCAACCAGCACTAAGATCTTGGCAGACTAAACTACTACGTGAAAAACTCAAGTAGCAGCCCAAACTAGTGGCTTTGCTCCTCTACAGAGCTAAGACAGTGGCTCTAATCAGGAAATTTGGCAGGGTATAGGTCCGTGTGATATGAGTCCTCAAAGTGTTTTACAAGTTCTGCAAAGTGACCTACCCCTACCCAGGCAGGAAGCTGAATCATATTTATTGGTAAGTGTGACTCCCAATCCCACTTCACCAAAAAGACTAGCCAGTATTGCTACATCACCCAACAATACTCAAGCAGAAAGTTTGACAGGCACAGTTAACCATCTGCAGAATAAATTTGGTGGTCCGGTCAGCTAGAGAACATGTTACATAGGTTGGCTTGAGTGAAAACCACAAACATAATGATTTGTCAATCTCAACACCAGTTCTCATGCTTCACCTAGGCAGGGAAACAAATTCATAGCTCTGTCTATTGCAGCCTACCTGACCAGGGAATCTAACCAGAGCACCTGGGAAGCTATGTACTTCATCCAACAGCCCTGTTTACAGTGGCAATTGAACAGAAAGCATAGTCCATGGCTTAATTCATCTCATCTGTAGAGCGAAACCAGTAACCCACCTGACCAGGGAATTCAGTACAGTCCTGCCTATCTCAGGTTCCCAAACAATGAGCTGGCAATCCCTGGGGCCTGTCCTACTGTAATTCCAGGGTGGAAACCAATACATAGCACCACCTGCTGCTGGTACCAGTTCAAACTGTACTCAGTTCCAACTATCTAGTAAGCCTGATCAGAGAATGTAGGTATCCATAGAGTCCTTTTGACAGTCTCACATGAGCAGGGAAACAAGTTAGCAGTTCTATCCAACTATCCTCACCCTGTAGCCACACACTACTTTCCTATGATATTAGTGCTCAGGCAGTAGAACTGACAAAAATTGACCCTGGTTACAAGCTCCAACCTTCCCAGAGATATTAACAGCATCAGCATAAACACCCAGAAATTCAAATTAAGCTGACTAGTGGGATTATCTTTGCCAAAATGAAACCATAAGGTCTGGAGAAGGAAATTGCTTACTCATATGCAGATATCAGCATAAGATACCACCTCACACCAATGAGAATTGCACATATCAAAAAAATACTAACAACAAAAGTTGGGGGGGGGTGTGGTGAAAAAGGAACTCTCCATTAAATCAAGATAGGAAAATGAGGTAAACAGAACACCACTAGAGGGACTTAAAAATGATCCAATGACTCATCTTAAAGAATCATACCTCTATGTACTATCAGGAAAGAATACAGAATAGCACTTGTAAAGAAGTTTAGTAACCTACAAGAATACAAAAATAAAATTAGGAAAGCAGTGCATGAACAAAATGAGAAATTCAACAAATAGAAACACTCACAAACAAAACAAAACAAAACAAAACAAATAGAAGTCCTAAAGTTGAAAGATGACTGAAGAGCTTAATAGAAAATTTCAAGACTCAACCATGCAGAAGAATAAGTGATCTAAAAGATAGACATAGGAACTTATTCAGTCAGAGAAGCAAAATGAAACGGTGTGAAGAAAGTCCACAGGACCTATGGGACAAAATCAAAAGAAACAATATCCGCATTATAGGAATTCCAGAAAGAGAAGAGACACAGAAAGACACAGAGAGTAAGTTCTGAGCAATCTTGGCTACAAACTTCCCAGGGCTGAGGAGAAAAATGGGCAAACTGATTCATGAGGCTCAAGGTACTCCAAATAGAACTCACACAGTTTGACAAGACACATTATAATTAAACTATCAGAAGTAAAAGACAAAAAAAAAAAGAATTCCAAAAGCAGTAAAAGTAATACATAAATAGAGATCTGTATATGTAATATATGTATACATGTGGCAAAACTGTCCTTCAAGCGACAAAAACTTTCCTGAATAAACAAACAGTGAGGGAGTTCAAAAGCATTAGACACATCTTATAAGAAAATCTAGAGAGTTCTTTGGGAAGATCCCTAGGAGTGAAACTGCTGGATCATATGGTAACTCCATTTTTAATAGTCTGAGGAATCTCCATATAGCTTTCCATAGTGATTGTACCAGTTTGCATTCCCACCAATGTAGAAGAGTTCCTTTTTTACCATATCCTCCCTAACATTTGTTATGTTTTTTTGATATGTGCCATTCTCACTGGTGTAAGGTGGTATCTCATTGTGGTTTGGAACATTAATTCAAAAAGATACATGCATCCCTATGTTTGCTGCAGCACTCCTTCCAATAGGTAAATCCTGGAAACAACCCAAATGCCCAAAACAGGATGATTGTATCAAGAAGATGTGGCATATATATATACAATGGAATACTATTCAGAAATCAAAAAAGATAAACTCATGCCATTCACAACAACATGGATGGTGCTGGAAGGGGTTATGCTCAGTGAAATAAGTCAGAAGGAAAAAGAAAAATATCGAATGGCTTCACTTATAGGAGGAATTTAAGAGAACCAAATAATATGAGAAAAAAGAGAACTCTTATTACAATACAAAAACAAACAGACCATTATAAACCAGAGAGCTCCTACAGGGGAGGGAGACAGAGAGGGGTCAGGAGGAAGGAGAAATGTGGGGGGTTATGGTGATGAAGGGAGAGGGAGGAGGTTAAGTAAACACTGCTATAAAATCTACAATAATGTAAATAGTCATAAAAATTAATAAAAAAGAATTCTTTGAGTGGAAATAAAAGGACACTAACATAAAAACACAGAAGGTGGCATAAAACTCACTGGTAGTGGTACATATATAGCCAAAGCTAGATTCTGTAATAAGGCAATCAATGATGGTGTACAATTCACCACAACTCTAGTTTAAACATTAAAAATGTAGTAAAAATAACCATAACTACTATATATATAAAGATTAGGAATACTATTGAAGTTGTTATCAGCTTTAAAAACTATGTTAGAATTTTAACATACTTCAAGTAAGCTTCATACTTACCATAAGTAATAAACCTGTACTTATTATACAAAAGAACATGATAAAGAAGTTGATAAACCTGTACTAATTACACAAAAGAACATGATAAAGAAGTTGAAGCATCAAAATACACATATACATTGCAAGGTAAGAAACATGGAATAATCGGGTCTCCATGGTGGTGAAGGGGTTAATTATCTCAGAGGTATCAAACTGTTGCCAGCCACTGTAGTATGAGTTTGATTCCTAGCCAGGGAGCTGACACACAAGGTACAACAGATCTCTTGTCTTGTCTGCTGTTCCCCTCAGCAGTCTATTTCAGTAGATCTGCCTGTTCTGCTCCCTACTCTTTCTCTGGTGAATCCTCTCATCCCCTGCACCTCTGGTCTATACCTCAGATCTTGTATGCATAAGTAAATAATATTTTGTCCCGACTTCTGTGACTGCAGGAAGAAAGAAAGACCGGGGGCAGAAAGGCTAAGCAAGCAGAGTTTATTGCTCACGGGTAGCAGCTGAGACAAAGCCCCTGGAGTGGGGTCTGCAGCTACTGCCAACTCTATAAGGGGGAAGGGTCTCTTATATAGATTCTAAGCTCAGATTCCAAAGGGGTGATTCATCGCTGTGCCCCTTGATGAGGCCCAGTTTGTTATCACCCTCATCTAGTCTCATCCCGGATGCAAGGCCCAGTTAATTTATCACCCTTGGATGCAAGGCCCAGTTTATTATTACTGCCTTATCACCCCTGGATGCAAGGCCCAATTTATTACCACCTCATCTAGTCCCATCAGTAAATCTCCGCACTTGGGCACTCCCAACAAATAAAAAGTAATTTTTTTTTAATTTCAAAGGAAATGAAAAAAGGGATAATAGATATAAAAATCAGAAACATTAACATGGTAACTTTAGTCCTTACATATCATTAATTACCTTAAATATAAAAACTGTGTTAAATTCTTTTTTTTTTTTAAAGATTTATTTATTTATTTGTGCATACAGAACTGGGGTACAGGCCAGAGGCTCAGGGGCGGTGAGAGGCTTCACCAGAGACAGAGTGGGGAGCAGAACAGGCAGATCGATGAAGTACACTGCTGAGGGAAGTAGTGGGCAGGTCAGGAGAGGTCTGGCTCGCCATGTGGTCTCCTCAGGGGCAGGCTGCAGACTGGAATCTCATGCGGAAGTGGCTTCAGATCCTCAGTGCTGTGCTTTAACCCCCTGCGCCACCAGGGAGGGCCGTTATATTCTTCTTTTAAAAAAAAGAAGGGTAAAGGTACTACAAGCAAATAACAACTATTCCCAAAAGCAAGTATGGCTACAATTACAGCAGACAAAATGGGTATTAAACT